CCCCCCCCGGCCCCCGGACACTTTGGGCGCTCTGGGCGGGCCGCCGGCTTCACACGGCAGCTTGGCGGGTTGGCCTGCCCAGCGCGCAGCAGGCGCCAGAGCGTCTCCTCGTGTGACGCTCATTGCGGGGGTAAGGACAGCTTGACAGCACCGCAGCGCAAAATAAACTTGTGTACTTACCATTTCCAGCTGGTCGTCTAGCGGCCCCAAATGCACGGTGGTCCGCCAGGTAGCCTCATCTTCCTCCGCAACGATACTGCACCTGTTGGTGGTCAGGAGGCGGAGGCTGTCCTCCAGCTGTGCCACCTGCCGCAGGTGTTGCAGGTGCCTCACTGTGTCCCTTGCACCTTCCTCCGCAGCAGAAGAGTTCCCCGCGCCTGCCGTTGCCTGCTTTTGCATCTTCTCGAGGGCGTCCTCCATCTGCCGCAGCTGGGCCACCGACGAGTCCAGATGGCGCTGCAGGGACACCTGCCGCAGCACCTGGACCACCTTCCTCCCAGCATCCACGCCCCGCTGCAGCTGCAGCATCTTCGCCTCCTCCCTCTCGGGTGCAGCAATGCGGGGCGGCGGAGCGCCATCGGCACCGATCAAGCGGATGGCGAGGACGTTGTCGGGGAGGCTCTTGGGGTCGGTGGACAAGACCTGGAACAAAATTTGCATCATGCCTTTGTCGAAGTGTTGCAAGAGCAAAAGGCTAGAGGGCCCGTGCACATGCAGGCTTGCATTGGATTAGGGTCAACAATTTGGCTTGCAGCTGTTGACTATTTTGGCTTTGGCTAAGGAAAACTAATTGTGTAACACATAGTGAACAAGGGGAACAAGTGTTCCCAAACAGCTTGCATCAACGAGTTACTTGAAAACCCTTTTAACTCTTCAATGTCTCTATATGCCTGGAAATGATGAATTGTAAACCATTACATATTGAAAATTGTTGCATGCAAGCATGCACATAGTTTGAGAACAGCACCCATAGAGTTTGCTGTTCCGCACATATACAATTTGCAAAATATCGTTTAGCATTAAAATAGCTACTAAATTTTTGCTTCTTGGGAATATTTATTTTTACTAACCTTCCTTAGGCTGTTTCAAAAAAAATTACCTATGCCAGAGCGAGGTTTTTCTGAAAGTTTATTTCATGCTGATACTCATGGAAAAAATCCGGGGGCTGTGCGATGAAGGGAACCCGGCGCAACCCGCGCTCAAAGTTTTTTGGGTGTCTTGGCGGGTATCACGACCGACACGTTCTCGGGCCCGCTGTGCGGCTGCGGCGCCGCCGCCGACCGCGCCCGTTCCTGTGGTGACTACCTATGGTATGTACTTCCTATCGGACATGGTCCGACCCGCCCTCCCCACCCCCCTCAGGAGCCAGGGCGTAAGTACTCAAAAAC